TAATTTTTTTTCCCCCCAACCATCCTGTGGTGTTGGGTCCTCGTTTTGAAGAGACAGCGCCCCGAATCTTTTTCCTTCCTTCCTTCCTCCTCCCCCTCCTCCCTTTTCCGTCCTCCATCCTCCCTCCTCCCCCTCCCCCTCCTTGCCTTTGCTCTCGGCACACCTCTCACACGTTTCGTAGCCCCATAGGGAGCTCCACCGAAGGCCCCAGTGGGGGTGCCCACATGCGGTTCCCCCACCCAGGGCAGCGCTTCGTAGCCCCATAGGGAGCTCCATCGAAGGCCCCAGTGGGGGTGCCCACATGCGGTTTCCCCACCCAAGGCAGCGCTTCGTAGCCCCATAGGGAGCTCCACCGAAGGCCCCAGTGGGGGTGCCCGCATGCGGTTCCCCCACCCAGGGCAGCGCCTCGTGGCCCCATAGGGAGCTCCACCGAAGGCCCCACTGGGGGTGCCCGCATGCGGTTCCCCCACACAGGGCAACACTTCGTGGCCCCATAGGGAGCTCCACCGAAGGCCCCAATGGGGGTGCTCTCGCATGCGGTTCCCCCACCCAGGGCAGCGCTTCGTGGCCCCATAGGGAGCTCCATCGTAGGCCCCAGTGGGGGTGCCCGCCTGCGGTTCCCCCACCCAGGGCAGCGCTTCGTGGCCCCATACGGAGCTCCACCGAAGGCCCCAGTGGGGGTGCCCGCATGCAGTTTCCCCACCCAGGGCAGCGTTTCGTAGCCCCATAAGGAGCTCCACCGAAGGCCCCAGTGGGGGGGCCCATAGGGAGCTCCACCGAAGGCCCCAGTGGGGGTGCCCGCATGCGGTTCCCCCACCCAGGGCAGCGTTTCGTGGCCCCATAGGGAGCTCCACCGAAGGCCCCAGTGGGGGTGCCCGCATGCGGTTCCCCCACCCAGGGCAGCGTTTCGTAGCCCCATAGGGAGCTCCACCGAAGGCCCCAGTGGGGGTGTTCGCATGCGTCTCCCCTACCCAGAGGTAGCGCCACCGAAAACGATATTCATATGCGCAGTATTCACAACTGCATATGGTTGGGTCCTTCGCCAGGCTAATTCAAGGATCGCGACTTGTGCATGAGCAAAGCCCCGCACTTGAAGTAGCACCCCCACGCTTTAGAGATCCTGCTCTCGAGATCTTCCTCGAACGAACTGTCGAAAGTGACGATGGTCCCGATGGCTTTGAAACCTTCGCTCCGGATTGCTCGCCTGACGTCGAGGCTGATCAGCGCCATTGGGATGCCATCTGAAGCCGTGGTACACCACGAACACTGTTCCACTCTTCCAGTGGGACTGTCCATCCAGCCCGGCTTAATATGTCCAGAAACGACTGCACCATATTCTGTAGCATGTTGAACGACGTTCCAAGGATCCAGAAGTTATCTGCAAAACGACAGATGTCGTAAAATCTCCCTCCAACGTTGACACCCCATCCCTCCTCCGCGCACTCAGCATGGAATTCTTTCAAGTCGACATCAAAGATCAAGTTGAAGACTTTCGGAGCGTCTGGCCCCCTGGCACAAAGACCGCGTGCGCTCGATGTCCTTGCTGCAGACATCTCCAGCACAGACCTAAGACTTCAACTACCGGACCTCCATTAAGGTAGCTGCAGCCGTGATGTTTCGAAAGCCCTTCCGGAACAGACGATGCACGCCGAAAAGGTGGCTCACCGTGTCGCACGCCTCAGAAAGGTCCCCGTCGAAGATAAAAAGTGAAGGCGCAACATCCTGCCATTCAACATGTTTCTCTATCAAGTTCCGGAGCGTGAAAATCGCATCCAGCGCCTGCCTGTTCGGGCGGAACGCAGGTTGGACCGCGCTGGAATTCTCCAGGTGAGGAGGAGGAGGATTAGGAGGAGCAGGAGGCTCAGGGGAGGGCGGATGAGGGGATAAGGACGGCGGCGGCAACGACGAGGAACACATCTGATCCAAACATATGGCCCGCCCCAGGGCCAGAGAGGCAATCTAAACGGCGAGAGCGCAGCACTGCTGGAGCTGAGCAACATGCTCGAAGAGACGCGACCACTCCGATCGAAAAAACATGCAACACATCCGCTGGTGAAATCCTGCGCTTATGTAAAACGGACCCCCGCGCGACCCCAAGTAAGGGAGGTTCCCTACGAAGTTCAATGGGCAAGGAGGAAAGACGCGAGCAAGTGGGGAATTACTATGTCATTGCTAACGCTGGTGTGTCATTGCCAACGCTGGGCAACCAGGCCCGAGCGTGACACTCATTTGCTCAGGCTGGGCAACTGGGCCCAAACGTATCACTTGTTGGCTTACGCTGGGCAAGCAGGCCCGAGCGTGTCACTTGTCAGCTTACGCTGGGCAACCAGGCAAGAGCGTACCACTTACTGTAGTAAGCTGGCCAGCCAGTCCCGAGCGTGTCACTTGTTCGCTTGGGTTGGGAAATCAGCGTGTCAATTATAAGACCTCACTGGGCAACCAGGCCCGAGCGTGTCAACTCAACTGTTAGCTCAGGCTGGTCCACCAGCACCCGAGTGCGTGCGCCATTTGCTATTTCACGCTGGGCAACCAGGCCCGAGCGTGTAGGGCAGCTGTAGGACTCGCGAGAAGAAGCATTTGACGACGGTGTCACGTGAACACACATCTCGCATAAATAGGAAAGCCGACCATGCCTGCGGATGCAGTTGTGGGGGGACACTTCCAGAGGAGCCTGACCGCAAGGACGAGCCGAGCCCACGGCGTGATAAACGAAGTAGTGTCGGGGTTTGCCACAGTATGCGGAAGGCGTCCCTCCTCATCCTCCTTCCTCCTCCCTCCTTCTCCTCCTCCTCCTCCTCCTCCTCCTCCTCCTCCTCCTCCTCCTCCTCCCTCATCCCCCTCCTCCTCCTCCTCTTCTTCCTCCTCCTCCTCCCGCTCCTCCTCCCTCCTCCTCCGCCTCCTCCGCCTCCATCCCTTTCCCTTATGAATAACCCCTCCCTGTCGCACCCCGAGGTCTGTCGGTAAGGCGGGCAGGGCGTTTCGCCTGAGATCCCCTTACAACTTATGATCCTCAAGCTTGAAGTGTGCAGCAGTTTTCACGGATGGAAGGCGGGTGGTGTTCAAAATGTGGCTCTAGCAGTAGCGCCGTTTACATTCGTCTTGAAAGCTTGCAAGAGCTTGACGGATGGAGGGCGATTCCGTTTCATAATGTTGCTCTTGCCCTAGCGCCGCGCACATTCGTCCTCAGTTCGCAAGTCCGTCTTGAAAATTTGCAAGAGCTTCACGGATGGAGGGCGGGCGGTCTTCAAAATGTGGCTCTTGCCTCAGCACCGAGCATAGTCGACTTGAAAAATGTGCAGGGTCCTCACGGATGAAGGCGGTTCCTCTTCAACATGTGGCTCTCGCCATAGCGCCGCGCACACTCGTCTTAAGACTTTACAGCAATGTCAAGTGTTCTTATGGCTAACGTACCAGATCTGGTGTATTGGCACGATGTAGGACTGCCAGGGCGCAACAACTATGTTTGCTCGCGGCGTCGAAGTCAAAGGAATGGTGCTTGTGGTACTACTCAGGATCGTCCGGACGCAACACTAAGGCTGATTCGCGGCGACGAAGTCCTAGGAATGATGTGGTGGCACGACTCAGGATTTACAACGGTTGCCTTCCAACGGGTCCCTTCGTTCAGTGCAAACGACTCCCTGTATGGACCTGAAAAAATATCCTGGCGAAGGACACAACCATCAGCAATTGTTCGTAACGCGTTGTGGGTGCCGCTTTCGGTGGGGCTCCGTATGGGACCACAAAACGCTGCCTTGGGTGGGGGAACGGCATGCGAACTGCGCCACTGGGGGGGGCCTTCGGTGGAGCTCCCTATGGGGCCACGAAGCGCTGCCCTGGGCGGGGGAACCGCATGCGAACTGCGCCACTGGGGCCTTCGGTGGAGCTCCCTAGGGGGCCACGAAACGCTGCCCTGGGTGGGGGAGCCGCATGCGCACTGCGCCACGGGAGCCTTCGGCGGAGCGCCCTGTGGGGCCACGAAACGCTGCCCCGGGTGGGGGAACCGCATGCGAACTGCGCCATTGGGGCCTTCGGTGGAGCTCCCCATGGGGCCACGAAATGCTGCCCTGGGTGGGGGAATCGCATGCAACTGCGCCACTGGGGCCTTCGGTGGAACTCCCTATGGGGCCACGAAACGGTGCCCTGGGTACGGGAACCGCATGCGAACTGCGCCACTGGGGCCTTCGGTGGAGCTCCCTATGGGGCCACGAAACGCTGCCCTGGGTGGGGGAACCGCATGCGAGCAGCCACTGGGGCCTTCGGTGGAGCTCCCTATGGGGCCACGAAACGCTGCCCTGGGGGGGAACCGCATGCTGGGGCCTTCGGTGGAGCTCCCTATGGGGCCACGAAACGCTGCCCTGGCCGCTGCAGCTCCCTGTGAGCAACTGCGAGAGCAGCCACTGCGGCCTTCGGTGGAGCTCCCTAGGGGGCCACGAAACGCTGCCCTGGGTGGGGGAACCGCATACGAGAGCAACCACTGGGGCCTTCGGTGGAGCTCCCTATGGGGCCACGAAATGCTGCCCTGGGTGGGGGAACCGCATGCGAGAGCAGCCACTGGGGCCTTCGGTGGAGCTCCCTATGGGGCCACGAAACGCTGCCCTGGGTGGGGGAACCGCATGCGAGAGCAAACCACTGGGGCCTTCGGTGGAGCTCCCTATGGGGCTACGAAACGCTGCCCTGGGTGGGGAACCGCATGCGAGAGCAAACCACTGGGGCCTTCGGTGGAGCTCCCTATGGGGCTACGAAACGTGTAAGGGGTGTGCCGAGAGCAGAGGCAAGGAGGGGGAGGAGGGAGGAGGGAGGGGGCAGCGGGAGGAGGAGACGCGGGGCACCGTCTTTCCAAAACGAGGACCCAACACCACAGGATGGTTGGGAATAAGAGCTTGGAGGGAGCTTGCACCATCATTGATGAGTCCTGGGTTAAAACTAGTCATCCTCCTCCTACTCCCATCCCTGCCATCCCTCCTCATCCCCCCCTTGGCCAGGCAAGAAAGGTGCCGCACCTGTGGCCGCGGCGGTTCCTCCGCCCACAGCGGCTGGGGCGGCTCCACCACGACAGGGGCGGGCCCCTGCAGGGCTTCCGCCAAAGGCGGATGGAGGAAGAGGGAGGGAAAGGGAGGGAGGGAGAGAGGGGAAGGGAGGGAGGGAGGGAGGGGGAGAGAAGGAAGGAGAAAGAGCCAGGATGGATGGATAGCGGCCGCTGTGGGCGAGGAGCGGGCGCTGCGGGGACAGCGGCTAGAGGGCAGCCGGGAGGGGAGAAGGCCCTCCTCGGCATGACCTCGTCCTGCCTCCGCACCCAATGGCCCTCGGCAACAGCTCAGGTGAGACGGGGGGACCCGACCTCTCCTGCTGTCTCCTGGGGCCTGAAGACGGATAAGACAGGTCGAGAGGGGGATCACCCAAATACCAGAGAGGTCCCAGGCGGGCCGTGCGCGGATGCAGGGAAAGAGCTGTCAAAAGATCAACCCTGGGGACATCCAGCCAGTCCGTGCAAGGCATACTGCAGCCTGCCCGCGTGGTAGGCGGTTACCAGCTGGATCCGCTCTCAGCCCAGACCCGCTTCCAGCCGCAAGAACCCCAGTCTCCCCAGACCAAAAGAATGCCTAGGCAGACTGAGCAACCGGAGACGGCGGGAAGAGGGCGTCGGGCAAATAGACACTGGGGACCACTTTCCGCTCAACCCCTGCCGCCACTCCACCGCCCTGCAGCATGCCGGATCGAGCCAGGGATCACTGGGGATACCTGAAGCCTGGCATACCCCCCAGACTCCCAGAGAAGCCTCCCCTCTGCTGGCCAGGGAGGGAGAAAGAGAGAGAGAGAGGTAGGGAGAGGGAGCGACAGGGAGGGAGGGAGGATGAGGAGAAGGAAGGAGGGAGGGAGGAAGGAGTGAGGGAGGAAGGGAAGGAGGGAAGGGAACCAGAATAAGCCCAGAATTCATGAATGATGCACCAGCACACCCTCCTGCCTCAAGAGGCCTCCCCGACAGTACCTACAAATATTCCTTTTCACTGTGAGAAGCGCCCTTTTGAGAGAGCGCCTCGTTGGACTGTCAAACGACAGCCCCATTTCGAAGAGTATCTGAACCGCGCTGCTAATCGCGAAGGGATCGAATCATAAACTTCACATAAGTGTCCAGTGAGAGCCTCTGTCTTTAATAAGAGAGCCACCACCGATCCGTGTAAGTGTTGCAAAATCCGACACCGTGCCCTGAGACACAAGTTGGAATGTGCTCTGGTCACTGGCCCAATCCATTAAGCCTCAAGCCTCAATCCCGGAGATTCTTTACGGGGCCCAGACCCCTGCTCTCTCGCGTGCCCCCCGGGCCCCGAGGCGTCTTGTCGTTTGAATTTTCGGGCCCACGAGGGCCCCAAGACGGGTCAAGAACGCCCCAAGAGGCCGCCAAAACAATCCAAGAGGGCCCCGAATCGCCGAATGATCAGTCCGAGACGCACAAGATGGCCTCCAGTCGGCCGAAAACGCGCCGATGACGCCCCAAGAGAGGCCCGAGAGGCCACCCAGGAGGGCCCCAAGAGGCTAGAAGGATAACGAACATGCATAGCACATAATTAGTGTTCACCTTCCCTCCTTACTTCCCATCGTTTTCACGTTTCTGCTGCACGAGGTCGCTTGCGCGGTCGTGCCCGGCGGCACGCCTCCCGCACGACCCCTCCGTGGATCCCCGTTCCGAGGACCCTGGTCCGCGACTTTCGTTCCGAGGGGCAGCATGGCCCCCACTTCTCAGTGAGGCCCTCGCAACGAGGACCCTTGCTCCGAGGGGCAGCGTGGCCCCCACTCCTCAATGAGGCCCTCGCTGCTGGACCCGGGAGGTGGTGGGGTCGTGGAGGAGAGAGAGAGAGAGAGGGGGGGGGGGAAACTATGGATGGGAGCATGCAGGGAGCAGGGTGAGCGGAACCCTCCATCGGACGGGCGCTCGGAGGTAACACCAAAATTCATATCTTAGAAAACCCCGGTCTTAAATACCATTCGCGGGGCTTCAGGCCCGAGATGGGGGGCCAAAAATATCACCTAGTTGTTTATACCCTACTGTGCACGTTGTGGCACGAAGCTAACCTACTCATGCTTCAGCAGACACACTGTATCTACATTCGGGGTGTTTACGATGGCTGGTTACAGATGCGTTGTACTACACTCAAGGAATTCACAAGAGGATGAGGACGATCGGGGGGGGTGCGCACTAGCTCCGGGCACCCCTGAAGACAACGACATTATGGCCCCGCGGCGTTCAAGACGGCCCAACAGGCCCCCAAGAGGGCCCCAAGACAGCACAAGAGAGCCCCAAGACAGCCCAAGAGGCGCTCCAGACGGCCCAAAGAGACCCCCAACACGGCCCCAAGTGGGGCCCAAGTGGGCGAACCCGAATCGACATTTCGAGCTTTCTGCCTCGTGATACCGCCAAGAGGCTACACAAGACCCCAAGAAGCCCCCAAGAGGCCCCCAAGACGCCCCAAAAAGCCCCAACGCAGCCCCCGAGAGACTTTAAAACTGACTCCAAGAAGCCCCTCAAGCGCCTCCCACGACATCCCAGCGAACATCCAATAGGCCGACGACCCGCAACTCAGGCACGGTGGGAGATGGGCCGAAGTCCGAAGGCCAGTAGATCCGCCACACTTTGCGGCTTGCCACAGGGGTGGGTGCACGGCGTGCCACATGTTCGGTAATTCGTGGCCGATTCTTAACCTACCTCCTTGGGTTTCGCAACTCCTGCGTCTCCACGAAGCCCCCGCACGCGACCCGGAGGGCGGCCAAGGACCCCCCGATGGCGCTGCATGCTTCGCTCAGGTCGTCGAACCCCACTAAAAGCTGGAGCCTCTCCGCGACGTCGAGGGGGCGGCAACCAGCCGAACAGTTCACCAGGCACTCGATGCCAATGGCCGTAGGGCCCCAGCGTCTCCAGGTGTCTTTCCGCGCTGCTCGCCAACAGGCCCAACTCCGCCTTGGAGAAGTCACCTCGCGGCCCCCAAGACAGTACCTCTGGGCACTCCGCTGGCTCATCGCCCTTGAGCCATACTTTTCGCGTAGGCCCGGGAGGGGTCCGAGAGCGCCGACGCCGCTGCCGCCCACCATCTTCTCCAGCCGTAAGTGGCGTCCGAGCTGGGTTCCGCGAAGTCCCCCATCGGCTCCTCCCCGCTCCTCTTCGCAGGTCCCCGGCGCTCCTCAGGCACCCCTTGGACCACCACATGAGGCGCGCCCACCGGAGCCGCCACTACGACGTTATCGCGGCACGGGCAGAGCAAGACTCCATCTCGTAGCACATACACACCTGACGCGGGCGCACTTCTTGACGCCCCGCTTCACCTGGACCACGTTACTGCGCCGCCAGCAAATGGTGCCGCACAGGCGCCCCCGCGGATGTTCGACTTCTCCCCGTCCTCGCGCAGCAACTCTACCGCGTCGCCCAGGGTCCTATCCTCGCACTTCTCCTTGCTCAGCTGGAAAATGTTGTACCCCTCCTGGCAGAACACTTCGTGGGCCACGCACTTGGCATTCTCGGACTCGGACTCCGACTCCGAATTCGGATCCCTCAGCAGCTCCGCCAAGGGGCCGACACCACACGCCTCGAGCGGCACCCCGCCGTTCCGCAATGATTGAAAGCCCCGCACAACTTTGCGAACCCCTTCGGGCCAACGGCACCACATCCACGCCCCAGCTCCCACCGCCCAGACAGCCCAGCACGGCGGCGGGGGCGCCGCGACCACAGCCTGCAAATTGGCGTCCATCTCCTCCGTCGCGTAGCCGAAGGAAGGCGCATGCACCGCGTAGTTAGCTACCACCATCCACGCAAGGAACCTCACGGCACAAATGGAGCGGTTTGTCCTGGGACTCCTCCAGCAGCGCCCTCAACCTCCTGGAAGTCGACCCGAGGACCGCGGTACACTGCCAGTTGCAAACCGACCGCTTCGGGTTGATCCCAGAAGTGACGGCCCGTCGCTCCAGTCGTCCTGCCGTGTCGCCCACCTTGATGACCAGGTGGTGAGGCTTTCCCACGCGTCCCGAGCACACAACTGAGCGTAGAAGGCGTTGTCGACGAGTATGGCCGCACCTGGGCCACGCAGCTCGGGAACGATACCAGATCCACCTCCTTCTCCTCCTGCGCGGGGTGGCTGGGCACGGGACAATACCCGAAGAGCCACATCAGCAGAGCCAGCACCAACTTCAGCAGCTTGACCACCAGGCATTCCAGGGCAGTAGCAATCGAGTGCGGCCCATACCCCATGCCGATGAAAATCACAACTCCCAGCAACGCGCTGACCATGCCTGACACGATGAGCCAGCCAGTACTCCCCAAAGGCGGCGCACCCCGCGGTCGAAATATAACCACCAAATAAAACACAGCCGCCCCTCATAGCTTGCTGCCAGCCCGGTACCTCGAACTCGAGGAGGAGACCGCCGAACCACGACCCGACGAAGGGGAGGTGCAAGTTCCAGAAGCACCAGCATCCTCCATCGCCGCCCTCATTTGTCTCACCAGCGGCCGTCGGAGGCGGTCCCTCTCGGCGTCGGGCGAATCAACTACCATCCTCCACCTCCTCTTCCGCGATCTCCCGCAACTCGCTCGACAGGACCTCTGGCTCCTCGCCCCCCCTTAGCTGCGGAAGCGGGCTCGTCCTCCCCTTGCCGCCTGCTGGCTTCACTGGCGGGGGCTTGGGCGGGGTCCTTGCATTTGCCCGCGCCTGGCCGCTATCGGTCACTGGGCGTCTCCTGTGCCGCCACCCTTCGTTCTTCCTCGGCAGCAGCACGCCCGCCAAGCTCAGGTCCCTACTGTGTGGCCCAGCTCACACGCCTCTGACGCTCGGCGAGGGACAGCAAAACAGCCCCCTCTTCACTGGGGCCACCTACGACCCGCGCGAGCCCTTGAACCATGCCCAGGATCAGGTACCGGGGATCTGCTGACCTGGGTCAATCCAGACCCGGGTCAGTCAGGCCTTGCAGGATCCTGCAAGATCCTGCAGGATCCTGCACCCAAACCCAGGTCAATGCGACCATGGGCCTGCAAGATCCTGCAAAATCCTGCAGGATCCTGCACCCAAACCCGGGTCAATGCGACCCTGGAGCTGCAGGATCCTGCAAGATCCAGCGCTCTGGCTGACCCTCGTTTGCATTGACCCCCGTCTCTTGAGCCCCGAAGGTACCCCTCTTCCTCAGCGCCGGCTGCCGTCGGGAGCGCAGGCGTGGCTCCTCTGACCCAGCGACTGACGGTGGTGGCGGCGACGGCCCCGCTGATCATCGGCACGGCCGCCGCCATGAGGTGCGGCTCGCCGTCCCTCGGGCCCACGCCGCGCTGAGCGCCTCCTCCTCGGCTGCGCCTCCAGCCTCGCGGTCTCGCCGGCCCTCGCGGCGGCGCAGCGGCCCCACAGTATCGCGGCGCCGGACTGTGTGGCTCCCTGTGAGCCGCCCCCAGGGGGTGCCTGGGGCCCCCGAGGTCCCGAGAAAAACTCGAGCCCAAAGAGGCAGCAGGAAGGGGAGAGACAGAGAGGAGGACAGGAAAGAGAGAGCATGCACCCCCGGCCCGTCTCAGCCACCAAACCTTACTTTCTGCTTGGCCCGAACTCTCACGACGACGACGACGACGACGACGACGACGACGACGACGACGACGACGGCGAAACCAGCCCTGGGGAAACCAGTCCCCGGCGAAACCAGCAGCAATCGAAACCAGCCGTCGGCGAAACTGGCCCCGGCGAAACTAAGTGCCGGCGAAACCAGCCCAGCGAAACCAGCGCCAGCGAAATCAGCGCTGCCGAAACCAGCCTGTGCCCTCGTCCTCGTCCTCCTCCTCCTCCTCCTCCTCCTCCTCCTCCTCCTCCTCCTCATCATCATCATCATCATCATCATCATCATCATCATCATCATCATCATCATCATCATCATCATCATCATCATCATCATCATCATCGTCGTCATCGTCGTCGTCATCATCATCATCATCATCATCATCATCATCATCATCATCATCATCATCATCCTCTTCCTCCTCTTCCTCCTCTTCATCCTCCTCCTCCTCCGCCTCCTCCTCCATTATTTTTCCTTATGGATTACTCCTCCGTCTCACCCCGAGGCTGGTCGAAAGGGCGGGATGGGCATTTCGCCTGAGACTTCCTTACAACTTATGATCCTGAAGCTTGAAAGTAGCAACAGCTTCATGGGTGGAGGGCGAATGGATTTCAACATTAGGCTCTCGCCTTAGCGCCGCGCACACGCGTCTTAAAAGATGCAGGAGCTTCAGGGATGGAGGGCGGGTCGTTTTGAAATTGTGGCTCTCGCAGTAACACTGCGCATATTCGTTTTACAAGTGTGCATAAGTTTCACAGGTTGAGGGCGGATCGTTTTCAAAATGTGGTTCTCGCAGTAGCGCCACGCATATTCGTTTCACAAGTTTGCAAAAGTTTCACGGGTTGAAGGCGGGTGGTTTTTAGAATGGCTCTCGCCTTAGCGCCGCGCGCATTCGTTCGAAAAACGTACAAGGGCTTTACGGATTGAAGACAGGTCGTTTTCAAAATGTGGCTCTCGCCTCAGCGCCGCGCACACTCTTCATAAGCGGTTGCAAGAGCTTCACGGTTTGAGGACGGCTCCTTGTCAAAACGTGGTGCTCCCCTTCGCGCCGCGCACACTCTTTTAAAATACTTGCACGAGTCTCACAGACTCCCATGGCTGATGTACCAAAAACGGTGTTTTATAACGGTCAAAATTGTCAGGGCGCAACAATTATGTTGATTCGCGGTGCTGGAGTCCCACTTCTAGCACGATTCAGGATCGCCAAGACGCCACAGTCAGGTTCACTCGTGGCGCTGAAGGTTCGAGAATGGTGTTTGGGCACGCTCCAGAATCTTCAAACACTTGTCTCCCAACGAGGCACTTCCGTCAGTGTAAAGGAAGCCTTGTAAGGGGCCTATTTAGAGGGAGCTTGGAGGGAGGGTTTCTTCCAACATCGCTGACGAGTCTTAGGTCTACACTGGTTCTCCTTTTCTTCCTCCTCGTCCATTCCTTTTCCTTACGAATATTTCTCCCTGTCACACCCCGAGGCCGATCGGAAGGGTGGGCCGGGCGTTTCACTCGAGACTTCCTCACCGCTCACGATCCTGAAGGCTCAAGTTTGCAACGGCTTCACGGCTGGACGGCGGGTCGCTCGCCTCAGCGCCGCGCACATCCGCCTTCAAAATGTGCAGCCATTTCACGGCTGGAAGGCAAATGGGTTTGAAGATGAGCCTCCCACCTTATTAACGCCGCGAACATCCGCCTTGAAAATATTTCCACGGCTCCACGGATTGAGGACAAGTCATGTTCAAAATGCGGTTCTCGCCCTAACGCCGCGCATATCCGTCTTACAAATATGCAACCGCTTTACGGATGGAAAGCGGGTCGTTTTCAAAATGTGGGTCTCGCCTTAGCGACGCAAACCTTGGTCATAAAAAATTGCACCAGCTTCACGGATGGAAGGCGGCTCTTATTCACAATGTGGCTCTCGCCTCAGCGCCGCGCACATCCGTAGTAAGAGTTTGCAGCGATGTTGAGGAATCTCCTGGGTAACAACCAAGAACTTGCGTTTTGGCACGGTGTCCGGCTGTCCGGGCGCAACAGCTACGTTAATTCGTGGTATTGAAATCCCAGGAATGGTGTTCTGGAACGGGTCGGGATCGCGAAGATGCAAAAGTAACGGAGATCCACGACGTTGATGTACCTAAAATTGCGTTCTAGCACAAATCATAAATCTAAAACTTTTGCTTTCCAACGGGTTGCTTTCTTCAGTGTGAAAGAACACTTTGTAGGGCCTATGAAGAAGGAGCTTGGAGGACGGGTTGATTGCAATATCGTTGGTGGGTCTTAGATCTACACTGGTCCTCCTCCTTCTCCTCCTCCTCCTCCTCCTGCTCCTCCTCCGCCTGCTCCTCCTCCTCCTCCCCCTCCTCATGCTGCTCCTCCTCCTCCTCCTCCTCCTCCTCCTCCTCCTCCTCCTCCTCCCCCTCCTTTCCTTTTCATTGTAAATAACTCTTCCCTGCCGCACCTCGAAGCCAATCGGAAGGGCGGGCTGGGCGGTTCGCCTGGACCCACCATTTATGATCCTGAAGCTTGAAACTTGCATCGGCTTCACGGATGGAGGGCGCGCCAACTTCAAAATGTTGCTCTCGCCTCAGCGCCGCGCACATCCGCCTTCAAGATGTGCAACATCTTCACGGATGGAGGGCAAGTGGTTTTCAAAATGAGACTCTCGCTTTAGCGTTAAGTCAGGCGTGTCCTCCTACAAGCGGAGCTTGGGCGAACAAATCTAAATGCTCAAGCAAACATACTAAAAAATCGTCCCCATACTATGGCTTGACTATGCTTGACTATTTCTCCTGTGGAGGGACAGGCCCGACTTAACCCAAGCACCGCGCACATCCGTCTCAAACAAATTCCAACGGCTTCACGGATTGATAACAAGTCGTTTTCAAAATGTGGCTCTCGCCGTAACGCCGCGCACACCTTCCTAAAGATATGCAACCGTTCTGCGGATGGAGGGCGGGTCGTTTCCAAAATGTGGGTCTCGTCTTAGCGCCGCGCACCTTCGTCACAACATATGCATGAGCGTCACGGATGGAGGGCGGCTCCTATTCAACATCTGGCGTTCGCCTTAGCGCCGCCCACATTCGTTGTGAGCGTTCACAGCGATCTCAAGGAATCCCATGGTCAGCAACAAAGGAGTTGCATGTTGGCACGATGTCCGACTGCCAGGGCGCAAGAGCTACGCTGACTCGTGGTGTTGAAACCCCAGGAATGGTGTTCTGGCATGGTTCCCGATCATCGAGACACAACAGTAACGGCGATCCGCGGCGTTGAAGTCCCAGGAATTTTGTTCTGGCATAGTTCAGGATTTTAAAAATGGTTGTTTTCCAGCGGGGCGTTTCCTTCCGTGTAAGTAAACCCTTGGGGGGCATATCAAGAGAGGGCTTGGAGAGAGGGGTTACTGCGATATGCTTAATGGGTCTCGGGTTTACACGCTTCCTCCTCCTCCTCGTCCTTATCACCCTCCTCATCCTCATCATCCTCATCCTTCTCCTCCTTCTCCGTGTCCTCGTCATCCTCCTCCTCCTCCTCCTCCTCATCCTCCTCCTCCTCCTCATCATCATCATCATCATCATCCTCCTCATCCTTCTCTCCTCCTCCTCCTCATCATCCTCCTCCTCCTCTTCCTCCTCCTCTTCCTCCTCCTCATCATCATCCTCTTCCTCCTCCTCCTGCACATCCTGCACCTCCTCCTCCTCCTCCGCCTTCTCCTCTTCCTCCTCCTCATCATCCTCCTCCTCCTCCTCATCATCATCATCCTCATCCTCCGCCCCCGCCTCCGCCTCCGCCTCCGCCTCCGCCTCCTCCGCAGCCTCCGCTTCCGCCTCCGCCTCCGCCTCCGCCTCCG